GTGTTGGAGTAGAAATTGCTGAGGAGACGTCGCGGAGGGGCGAGCTTTCCTATGCAGGTATGACCTTGGGCGTATTTCAGCATGGTCGAGTGGAAAAATTCAAAAAAGTTTATTTCAAGAAAACCCCAAAAGGAAGATGGGGACATGTCCTCAGCGCTAGAAGAGGTGTTCTACTTTCTGCCGGTGTATAGTTCTGGCCAATTGAGGACGTAGCTGGCTGTTTTGCCCGCGCTTGTAAATTGGCTATTTTCAAGACGATCATTTGTGGCGTCAGGGGGTGATGAACCTCGTCTTCTGGGATGCTGGCGTGGCTAAGCGGTACTGCTCCAGGAACTCTTCTAAGGTGAGGCAATGTTGGCTTGATGGAGTTTTGTTCATAGCTTGTTCGTATACGCTGTGGCGTGACTCGTTTCTAGACCCATAAATAATGTGATATTTCGGCAACTTTTGAGGGGTATGCAAATTTCAAAGTTCCCTTCAGAAACTTTTTCAAGGGCTTTGCACAATCGATCCACGCCCCAGAGGGAACCTACCTGCAAATTTTGAGCGAAATCGGAGAGATCCACTTGCACACATACTTTGGTATTCTCAGACATGCTCTCTTAAGTGCAGACGTATCCACGATGACCTTCGAGGGAACTGCAGCTTGGAACACTTTAAATGCGAACCACGCACTCAAACTAACTAGACCACCGCATAGCTGGTGTATTCTCGGGGCCAAAGAAGTCTCCTTCTGCCCCCATAGAGCCTTGGTTAGAGCTCTAGAAGGGAGGAGAGCCGTACCTAAATTCAATCATTTTTCCAATTCCAAAAGCATCAATTGAAGGTGTCTTGGTGACTTCGTTTCCCGCGGTTGCAAATAAAATCAACCCTTGAGCACCCCTTGGCGCACGGACTAGGAGGGCGTCACCTTATGGCGCTCCAGATGAGAACCTAGAGAGAACCGGCTAGGGCAGATAGAAATATGCGGCAACTTGTCCCGTTCTCTAGCAGTTGAACGGTGGCAGTGCCTTGAACAGCGAAGGGTCAGTGCATTGAGCGGAAACAACGATTGCAGATGTCACAATGAGCACTGCAGCAACTCCGAGAGGTAGTATCAACGGTGGCAGCAGCACCTGAGGAGATCGGTATAAGGCATGAGCTAGAAGCGGTGCAGTGATGCACAGCCCAACAACCATCGCTGCCCTGGAACCAACGATGGCACTGATGCCGTTCAGCCGCGCACGCACAAACCACGCACACACACACACACGCCCCCACAAACACACACACACACCCTAAATTCTGCTGATGTAGCTTAATCACTTCACTCCATTAGATCCAACACTCATGTTACAGTGGGTCCAATGTTATTAGGCATTTTGCCTGTTTTGATTTCCACTATAAATAAAGTATACAACAACAACAACAACATGTTACATATAGAGCACTTCCATGTACATACTCAATGGCCACTGGGGGAAAACCACAATTGACGAAAACACAAGCTTCACAGTTCTCAGAACATTGCTTCTACACCAGCATTTTTTAAACTCATTTTTGCACTCTGTACATCACGCAGTTCTCAATGAAATCAAAGCCGCATGAAAAACCCAAAAACTAATAACAACAAAAACTGATAATACAAAGGTAAATCAAACCCATTTTTCACGGGAACACTATAACCTTAGAAACTGGATATGTACATGTACACAGTCTATGGCGCCAGGGCACATTCAGCAGCCATCAGCACAGCCGAACCAGACAGATGTCGAGGCGGGCTCCGACGGTGACCACGTAGACTGGCAACCATTGCCCGAACAAGAAAAAAGGAGATCTTCGCCCGTACAAAAGCCATCATGACGGGGAAAGGCTGAAGGCGCTTTTCACTCAGCTTGCTGGCAATCCTGGCGAAGAGGGCCGAAGCAGCTTTCACCTGCCCACCAGTAGTTGCGAAGACCACGGGAACAAACGAGGAATGCTCCCCTTCCAGGACTCGCCGTGCATACTTGCGCCCCTTCTCCTGCTCGTGCTTTCTTGGACAGACGGGAACATCAAATTTATTGTCCTCTCTAACCTACTCACATGCACTCCACGTGCTGCCACATCCAGACGAGCATGAGCCTCCGTGTTGGCCGACCGGAGAGGGAATGTTTCACCAGAGAGAGACTCCAACTCTGGCTCCACGCTGATGTCATGCACAACCTCACGCAACAGATTAGCGATGAGATCTTGGAGCTCGTTGTGGCGCATCCCAGTGAATCCTCATATGGCACATGACAGGGCATGGATGGTGTCAAAGTGCTTTGCGCAGGTGCAGTTAGACGGCAACCTGGGAGGGATCCAAGCATAGCGCGGGCATATTGCATCCCGGAAGCTAACCTTGTGGATGGCGAGCTGGAACCTGCCAGATGTCCGGCTAGTGAGTCAACTGGAGGCACGCATCTCCGCGACCAGATCAAGAGTCCGCTTGTGGTCGCCACTCAGGGTATCCCTGAGAGAGGAGAGGGCCATTGCATGATCCTGGCGATTAGCCGTGCGTTGGACCGCCTTGGCTGCCTTGGTGGCTGCAGCAACTTTCACGATGGATTCATCCTGAGGAAGGAGCTACTCCACGAGAGGTCTGGTGACGAACGTAGATGCGATGTACTGCCGGGCAAGGGTCCTTGGGTTTAGAATTCTCAAACACCCACGACGACAGGGGAGCGCCGGGATGGCACGTTCTTCCTCGCCTGGGGCATGGCCACCAGTCAGTGCAGGGTGCAAAACTGGGCTGATCGAGTTTTCCAGCGGTGGCAGGAGAACTGCGATGGCTGGCACTGTCCTCGCAAGGAATGACCACTCATGGCAGAGACCATGAGTAAGGACAGCGTACGCAGCCTGAGGTTGAGACGCCGCATGTTTGGCGAGGGTCTGCAGCTCTGGGCACCATGTGTCAAACTTCTGGGACACGCCATCATCCTCAACACTGTTGGTTTCAGCGGGATTAAATGTTCGAATTTTGTTTGCCGCATTCGAGTAATCTTTCTGGCATTACTGTTCTAGAATATTTGAATTATTGAAATATTCCTTGCATTACTGATAATAATCAATCAAAGACCGTAGTTCTCTCTCAGCATGGTCTTGGCCGTGGACATGGCAGGGGAGAGGAAGTCGCCAACATTGCCGCGAAAATGGATGCAGACGTGCACAATTGGTTCCTGCAACGCATCGTCAGGCGAAATTACTGGTCAGTCGGCGTCACGCATTTTTTTTGAGTCTCATCCTGAGCACGTTTTTTTCTTCTTTTTTCAGCTCCAGTATAGCTGTATTTTTCATTGCAAAGCCGTCCTCGATTGTTGTGTTCGTTGTTCAAACGAAGTGGACATTCAATCATGAAGGCAGAGGACATAGGAGCCTGATTGGAGTTTCTCGTGGCATAGGACGCCCACACAGAGACACTTTATGATTTTCTGAATATAAAATACCGTACGCACGATGCTGAGATCAATTTGTGCGATATCAAATTGTTTGTGATCTACCACATCGAGCATAACGGGATCCAAACACAAGCTTACCGACGGTTAGGCTGCCGACCTGACTGGACAAATGATCCCTGGCTTCACCAGACGCCAGACGTCGGACACCATGTCCTTTGCCGCGACGTCCATCTCCAAAAAGAACTCCATCTTCGTCGTGAAAAGGCTTGAAATACTCAATATTCAACCGAGATTCGCGGTCTCACCCTTTCTCAGATCGAATCATTTTTTGTTGTAGCAGTTGCAGGGCAGATCCCCGCCACTACTTCAACAGAAGATGGCTCCAAAGCATGCCTGGAACAAGCCATATCGAGGTTGCAAGCCACCCCTCTCAGCACTTTTTTTGAAGAAATTCGAAATTTCAATGGTGGAAGATATACTATGAAGAGAATTTCAAAAAGTATATTTCGCGGAGCGATCGCTCAACCTACGTCATTCAAACTTTGCAGGATGGTTCAGACGTACATGCTAGGCATGGAACCACAGAAGATGATATCATAGCTGACACACAGAGTCACACACACAGCAGATTCGTGTGCACAGATACTAAATTAGTGGACGTCGTCATCTTCTTCCCGCTGATCTCAAATGTACGATGACGTGCTATTTCGCCTGACGATTCTACACGGGATAAATGCAGAGCCCCATGTGGAGGTTCATTCAAAATTTCGTTGACGGCTAAAGGCTATCAAACCTATTCAATGGATGAACTAGTTGATTGTGACTTGTCACAACAAGTTGGAATTTGGAGCTATTTCTCTTACCGTGTTGGCCATTGAAATCGGACCACTTTCTCAAAAATTACGCTGTGAATAATATTTCGGAATGTTTGAACCATGCAGGCTATCACAGCTGCAGGTCGTCCAGAGCTAACTGTTGCGGTGCACAGGAAGTATGTCGGTGGCCATAATTCACATTCAACTCTGTACCAATGATAAGCTGAGCTGCAAAACCCGATTAGCGTCAAATTTGAGAAAAGAAAATTTTCACCTCAGTGTAATCAAGAGGTCTTCGGCACGACCAGGCAAAATTTCACATGAAAAATCTGAGTAAAATCGGTAATAATACTCATGAAAGGGACACACTTCAGGCTCTTTACGAACATCTTGAGAGTTTTGGTCTCAGAAGAAACTGTTTACTTATTAGAATCGGTAATGGTTGGATATACTTGTACAGGTTAAGTCGGGGTCGGACTGGCCGCCATCTTGTCCATGTTTGCAAAATTGGCAAGCTGTTAAAGACATTCATATTTTTAGGGTGTGTTCAGTATTGTATGAAGTATTCTACTAGTATTTGTAGCTAGATTTTGCTTAGAAGATTCTTGTGCTGATTGTTTTGCATGTTACAGTATCCGTGCACAATAATCAACTCTTTTCTACCCTCTATTTTAGTCTGGTGATCAAGTTGTTCCAACGTTTGAAAAAGATATCGTGCTGATCATAGTACTTCAAAGTAGTAGATCTTTTCTTTGCCATTGTATGTGCCTCTGTTATGCACAGTTCCACCCATTATTCTGTCACTCAACACCCCTGCAACTGTTGACAACAACACTATGCACCCCATCAACTGTACAGGTCAGGGATACCCGGAACCTACAGTCACACTAATGGTCGACAATGTGGTAATGATTAGAAGTTATTCCAACAGTTGTACTGGTGGGGTTTGTACAAAGACACACACAGCATCACTAGATGGGAGTAACTTCACACCTGGTCATACCATCAACATTACCTGTACTGTGGATATCAACCAACCACCATTCACCTGTACTGCTGCTCAGAATTCAACTTTACAGACACAGTGTAATGCTGCTGCCAAGTCCAGGTCACAAACAAGAATGTTAACTGTAGTTGGTAAGACTTAAATCAATGCTTTACAGCAGGCATGGAAAACGTTAGTCTATGCGCTATATTCCATGTAAATATGTGGGACCGGCATTTAAAATTAAAGTGAGCAGATGACCGACAAACAGGTGTTTGTCGGAGTATGCGTCGTCATCATTTTGTTCAAGTTTGGACAATCCACTTGTTCAGAAAAGTAGGCAGCGATGTCTGTTCATTCTGAAGTAGTAAAATAAAATATACCAGCCAAACAACATCGAAGTAATGATTCTAGAGTGCATTTGGGTCTATTTTGAACATCGACTGAAGTTATGCTTCCATGTCTCCAGCACAATGTCCACATCTTGATGATCTCGGCTTCAATTACAAACCTATTACCGGTTTCAGCAGGACGTTTGGCACCAACATATCCATACAGTGCAGAACAGGTTACCTGTCCACCAACGCTCTCGGTACCACCACAACTACATGCCAAAGTGGTGGAGTATGGAGTCCAAGTCCTCCAGGGTGTGAAAGTAAGTGTGCATATATAGCAAAGCATTCAACTACACGTAGTGAAATTAATTTCAGAGAAGGAGATGATTATCGCTTGGAAGGAAAGGGATTGTCAGTGCAATTAGTTTGACTGCACATAGTTGACCACGCGGGTGTGTTTGGCGCACTGGCGTCTGGAGTGGTGACTGGTGTTCGAAGGTTGAACAGGCCCTTGACGTAATCGGGTAGGAGATTTTTTTCGTCTACCCTACTCGCGCGATTAGAGCCCTCTCTTGAATAGTGCCCTACCTCAAATAAAGACCTGTCTCTAAGAGCAAATTAAAAAAGCCCTCTCTTGAATAGTGCTCCCTCCCTGGGCTTGTAAACAAGCACATGTGCACGTTTGGAGTTGTTTTGCTAATAATCTTGTCCATTCCGCTGCTCTTGTGGTTTTAGGATAAAAGTCACAGCTCTTATTGACGTTTCTGCTGAGTCGTGATTGTTTACAGTAGACTTTAGGCTCCGTGCTCTACTACTTTTTTATGGTGGATGACGTAACTGTGCAAGCATTGAAAAATATTGCTCTCTCTTGAATAGTGCCCTGTCTTGAACAGTGCCCTCTCTTGAATAGTGCCCTCTCTTGAATAGTGCCCCATCTTTGGTGGACAGTGAAATAATAGTGCACTAATCGCGAGATTACGTAGTTGCAGTTACGTGGTAAAGGGAATATTCTTTTCTTTCATCCAGTGAACGAGGAGAAAAAATCTTAATTGGACAGGTCTCCGGTGGTAGTAGCGATAGCCCACTGTGCTGCATTGCACGATCCAGAAAAAGGAAAAAATAAATAGTTACCGTGAAGGCCCTTGAAATTTGGCTACTTTTGGATGAAAAATGGTTACATTTGGAGGTGGTTGGCACCGCGAATATTCGCGTGGTTCTGTTCTGTATCGATATCAAGACTGCTCAAATGAGGTAATGTGCACGTTGGAGGTGTATTTTTTAATTTCTATCTGCACCAACGCTCGATTTTGGCTCCGGAATGCAGCGTTTTGGCCAATTTGGTTGTTTTAACAACTGGCAAGGTGTCCTTTTACAAGTGCGTACTGAACGCCTGGTCAGGTAATTGTAAGACCCTGTAGGAAACCTAAATGCAAAATGTAAGAGATGTCAGAATGATGCTTAACCCATATTGTCTGTTTTTCCCAGACGTGCTCTCTAGTCTCCATTTGAAATGAATTTCACATCTCTCGCTATGCAAATTCAGAGATTCGAAAGAATCTAGCTACAGTGAACGTCGGCAGAAAGGTTCCATCACATCAAGGGAAATACTCAGGAAAGATTGAATTCTTCCCTTCGGAAGGTTGAAACTTCGGCATGTAAAAACTATCGCACCTTTTCCCAATCGATATACCAATTAAATGCGTTCATACAAAGCATGGTGCTCGACTTACTACGAGCTCACTGTAAGGCTGAAGTCAGGAGCTATTTTAGTCCACCTTGAGCGTATGATTATTTGTATTGAACCTGATTCCACTGACGCACCGTAGCACATTGTTGATGTTTTTTATGACTTGTCGTAGTTCCTCTGTGTGAGGCTGAGTATTGGCTGGAGCATATTCCTTATGTGCACTGCAGAGGTCACGTGACTTTCAACAAAAACGGGTTACTCCTTAGTTTGAGGCAAAGTTACAAACGGGAAATGTAAGAAAAACATACGTTTACTACCAGGACTATAACCAGGGACCCGCGCATATTTCATGCGGTGCTCTGCCGATATGCTATGGTGTAATTGTCGTTACAGAAAGGACTGTCCAGCACCTTCTTGAGACTTCCAAAGAGTAAAGATTTAAAATGGCTAAAATGGCAACCCAAAATGGAGTTCTGACGGAAAAGGGTTTTCTGTGAAGGTTCTGGCGCTCTGGCACAACTTAACGTTTTTCTACAGTACTGTCGAGAGAACAGCAGTTGATGATGATGATATCTTTGTTCAATGTCAAATACTAAACCTAAATCGATGAAACACAATTATGGTTCGAAAACGTCAAGCTGAGGATCCCTGTCAGACGCAATCATTATTATTATTTATTCATATTTTACTAGGGCAGTCCCCACAGACCTATGGTCTTCTTACAGGGTGCCCTAGCCACGTGAAGATAGCAGAGCGAAATGCAGCAGGTAGGGATATGGTGCGAATCGCGGCAGGGATGGAGTTCCATCGGTCAGCTCCAAGATAAGATACAGAGTGATAGCCAAAATACAATCTGGCATGGGACAGTACCAGGCCGAGCGATTCCTGAGAACGGGTAATTCTAGCAGTGCGGGATAATGAGACAGCACGAGGAGTGAAAAGTCGGCAAAGTAGGGGACTAGCACGAGCATTTATGCATCTATGTAGAAACACATAGAGGTTGGCAGCATAGCGAATATTTAACATTGTTAGGTGCTGTCTAGCTAAGATGGGTTGGATGGAGGCAGAGGGAGGGAAGCCAAAGAAAATGAGGATCACCCGATTCGCGATGCTAATAAGAGCAATGACTTGCGCTTGGAAGTTATGGCATTAAATCTACCTTGCACGATAGGGGTTTTAGTCAAATATTCATAATGGTGGTCCATAAAACACCGTTAATTAGCACACTGTGTACATCCATTCCGTTATATTTCCATTACAGATTGCAGCATTAGGTGTGCCGATGACAATAAAGTTGTAGCCTGTAATCACGTGATGGGAACACTCGCCGTCAACTGCGTTTGTCCAACTAACTACACTTGGACAGGGAGCAAGTGCGCGCGTAAGTGCCTTGCTGTATTTAAAACAATGTAACATAAGTTTATACAAGTCACGCTACTTTCTCTGTGCTGCGATGAAGAGTTCACAAAGAACGAAACAGCATGCTGTCCAAAGATTGAGTACAAGTTAGGCTATAATAGTCACTAACACCATCTCTAAACAATGAGCTCATCCGATAACATTCCACAACACTGACCGACGGTACTGACGTTCTACAACTTACTGGCTATCAGCTCTAGCACAGCTTGGATGCGCACTCCAACAGCCTTCCAACTTTGAAGGTTCTAAGTTATATAATTTATACCTTCCACTCCTATGTTATACTTATCATTAACACGCATGCACTCGCTATTACAGACCAGAGGAGAGCACACATCGTATGGAGGATTCATAGAGTGCTAGGCAACCGCATCTAGCATGTTGAATAGTCCACGCAAGATGTGCAGCCGATGAAATGGGCACCCATGAACTGGGCGGAGTGTGGACGGCCTGTCTGACAGTGTATATATATGTCCACACACAAAGTGCAGCCCATGAGAAGGGCGCCCTTGAAATTGACGGAGTGTGGACTGCCCACGCGCGAAGTGCAATGCCCATTAGGAGGCAGGAGTGTTGAAGTATGAGTGCGATGGTCGAAGACCGTGATAATTGCCAGACGAGAGGAGATAGCTGGCCCAGCACTCCTATTTACTTTAATATTTAATATTTATGAATTACGATACCTGTGTTGAATCAAGGATATCATTATTATTCATAGATGGGAAGAGGTGGGTGGGTGCGAAAGAAACAAACCGGTGTTCTTATCACGACCCAAGCAAAGCAAATATGAAGTAGTATTATAGCAATGTGGCCAGCTCTAAGTATGGTGTATGCGTTACGGGTTAAAGCTCCGATGTGTGCTGCAGCCGCATATGGCTGGTTGGCTGTCGAGTTTGGGTTGCGTTCCGGCGTACGCATATTACATGCCACCGCAGCGTGCATGTACGTGCTGCTTGACATGCATCAATGAATAGCGTGGGATCTGCGGGCTCTTTGGAAGCCCCTGGAGCGGGTTTGAAGTGGTGGCTTGTGCTCCATTACCGGAAGGTCTAATGTGCTATAATTATTACTAATTATACCTTCGGTCAGTGTCTCGCAATATTATCACATGGACTAAGTGTTTTGTAACTGATGGTGTTAGTGGACATCACAGCGAAATATCTAGTTCCTTGGTTCTATTCTGTTCTATACATTTATCCTTGGCTTCCCATCCGAGTCCACTCTGACATAGGTTTGTTGTGAAATGTGCCATAGTAAATTCTGTGTTGTTCAGAGAAAGGTGACGAGCGCTCACTTTACTGTCATTTTTCAATTATGTATGAGACCGCAACTAGAGACAATGCTTTCAGTTGCACTTCAGACGGTTACTGGTTTAGCTTATGCCACACTGAGACTGATGGATCTCTTACAAAATGCAGCTTCAAAATAGTTTCAGAGTGATGTGTTTGTGTGTGTGTGTGTGTGTTCTGTGCGTGCGTGTGTGTTTGGTACATGGTGTGTGTTACATGGTGTGTGTGTTGTGTGCGTGTGGGTGTGTGCTGTGTGTGTGTTTGTGCGTGTGTGTGTGCTGTGTGCTGTGTGTGTGTGTGTGTGTGTGTGAGCTGTGTGTGTGTGTGTGTGCGTATGCGTGTGTGTGTAGCGTAGCTCTGGTCCCATTGCATCGATTTTCTTGAGACAGTCATCAGAGAATACTGTCTCAACAAGAAAATATAGGCAGGCCTTACTAATACGTTTGAAAGTGATTGTCTCCTTGTCCCCTTATTATTTACTTCTGAATTCTATGTGCCCTTACACATCTATGGCCGCTTTCGATTGCACGTTTACACAATTCTGGAACTGGTTTTCTTAAATTCTGGAATGACCAGAATGAGCAGATTCCGGCCTTGTAAACGAACGACTGGATCTCACAACGCATTTTATTCATGTCATGTCATGTCACAAACAAAATTGATGAATCGTAAAAAGAGACCACATACACCCTCGCGCGCACTTGGACCCAGCATCGCTCACACGCTGGCCAGGGAGGCTCTTCGCGCGCTTTAGTCATGACCAGACTGTGACCGACTGTGCAATTAGAGAAATTCCGCCCTCTCTTCAGAATTGGCGGATTAGACGGAATTGGATAAAATCCATTCTAACGACGGAATTTGTCACTTTTTATGTAATCGAGCTGTGCAACACCTGATATACCTACAATACCTAATATTCTAGAATTGACCGAGATACGTGTAATCGAAAGCGCCCAATGAATGCATAACTGCTTAGATATATGTACAAACACTCAACCTGGATATGTATGCACTTTTTTCAATGGAACGGCGGGTTGCTTTGGTGAGGTCATACTCCGCAGGGTGATACCGGCTTGAATATTAATACTTTAATAATAATCATAACATACAATTTCGCATATACTGACAGTTTATCGCCATTGTTTACGGTCAGGAGTTGGGGTCTGGGCGTTGTTGATGGTAAGTTCGACACTCTTGAGATTCTTTCGGACAGTGTCGATCCGACGCATGGGGGAGGGGGGGGGTGCAGCAGCGGGGCTTCTTGATGGCGGCGGCTAACATCAGTGCCTGGTATGATGGAGAGTTTAGGCTTTGTCTGACAGCGTGGCGAAGCCATTGAAGTCGACGTTCTCTGCAAATAGAAGTAGGAGCGACTCTGACTCAGCTGCTACCTGGGGCTTCACGAGGTGTTTGTCGCGCTGGAAACAAAGCGTCTCCGTAATTTTGTATTCCTGGTGATGGTTTGGCCTAGAGAGCAGTATATACTAGTAAGTGGTGCTTTACTGGCACAATCTTCCTTTTTTTTCTTTTTCTTTTTTCTTCTTCTACAAAATCCACATATCTCCAGACACTGGGGTGAATGATGGAGTGTGGTGGTGGGGCCCATTAAGCTCCGCCGACCAGAGGTCTCGGCTTCATAGCTCCATGGATGCACCAAAGGGATATTGGGTGGGGAGGATTAAATTGAAAAAGAAAACAGAAGAAAGAAAATGGAAAGATTGTATTGCTCAGTGAGCAAAAGAATAAGTTGAGTATTGATGTGAACGCTGTTAGACTTTTAAATTCAAGAGGAGACTGCCCGTGAGGAGAGATTACATGTATGTCCAAGCAGGGTAGGACACTGTACCCTCTTACTCGCGTATGCTATGAGTAACCCAGTGCCAGTTCGTTCTGAGGAGATGGTGATAAGCTGCTGTCTTGAACTTTTGGATGTTCTTTGGATGAAATGGGTGGGGAATGATAGAGGTAGGCAGCTGGTTCCAAATTGGGATGACGGAGTGGGGAAAGGCTCAGCTCACATTGTTCCGGGAATTGGCAGGAAGAACATTCTGTAACTGATGGGGATGCGCGGTGGACAGTCGTACAGCCTGGCGGGTGAGGCGTGTGGTCCTGGGTTGGTGTGTCGGGGGTGGAGCCATTCTCGAGAGAAGAGCGGGAGAATTATCGCAAAGGGCTTTATACAGGAGGCAGAGGGCAGCGATGGTGCGGCGAATTACGAGGCTAGGAAGCCAGCATTGCGGATGTATTGCCTTGATGGCTCGCTCCTGCACCCAGTCCAGCCGATTCAAGTGGGAAGGAGCTGCCCCCATCCAGACGATTGGGCAGTACTCCATAACCGGCCGGACAAAGGCTTTGTAGGCTCGAAGCCGGGCAGGAATAGTCAGCAAGTGAAATGCCTTGCGCAAGGCTCCAAGTCTCTGGGTTGCTCGGACTACAACAGTTCGGATATGTTGGCTGAATTTAAGCTGATGGTCAAACGTGACGCCGAGTACTTTGATGGAGGGCTGCTCCTCGACAGGAGTTCCATTGAAGACAATGGGGGGTATTGGCCAGTCCCGACGATGGTGGGAAATTGTAAGGGCCTGAGATTTGGCTGGCTCGAACTGCACTTTCCAATCCGAGCCCCAACTGAATACTAGGTCGACAGCAGCCTGGAGTACTCTAGCGTTGTCAGGAACAGCAGCGAGCGTTGCAATTTCGGCGTATAGGGTTGTGTCATCGGCGAATGAGGCAAGGTTGGAGCCGATTGGGAGGTGATCTTCAAGGTCGTTGACGTAGACCAAGAATAAGGTGGGGCCTCAGCCTACTCAATCTGTACTCATGAGGGGTGAATTCCCCGAAACATTGTGTGTTGAGCATGGAGTGGTGTTTCTAGTAGGTTTGCCGAGTGGAAAGTGCGACGTGCTCCTCATGTGCGCCAGATGGCAGTCGTGAGTCACTTAAGTGTCAAGTGTCGGCAAGAAGCGTGTGTTCCACATTGGAGCCATCAACTTCAGGAATACGGCCGCCGAAGTCCCAACTTCTAAGTTAGAATGGACGTGATTAGATAATTGAACATGCAGAAACGGGACACAAGTGAATGTCGCTTCCACAGGATGGTTGAGAATACACGGTTAGCTGCACTATTTCTCTGTTATACGTCTTGCGCTGTTCCAAGTCTTGACTCAAGGAGTGTGATGCATTTCCAGTATCTTTTGACATTTCAAAATACTCAATTTTATCAACGTTCAAACGGAGGTTCTCTTCAGCGAAAATGGATTCGCACGATTTGACGATAGTTTGTAAAGTTTTCGAGTTTAAATTGGCAGCATGTACCGTGGTGTCATCAGCGTATTGCGAGAAAGGGCAAGGAAGCGCCGAGTTCGGTGGGTACTGTTCGTCAATCTTCCTCATGGCCCCTTCTGCACACATTATGTACATGAGGGGAGAGGGGGTTTCCCTGCAAAACTCCGATGTTGGTGTTGAAAGGTTGTTCGAGATGCCTGTTGAGCTCGACTCTACCAGTTGGGTTGGAGATTAACTTTGTGATAATGGAAGTGTCAATGCTAGCCTCGGCCATTCTGCTTCGAGCAGTTTCTCGTATGATGGTTCAAAAACACCACTGAAATCGAGTAAAGCGCCAGAACACGACCACCTGCCAAGTAGGGCTCGTTTACACAGTATTCTGGTGATACAGACACCATCAGCTGTTGAATGTAGTATTGACGTAGTATTCACATATCCGCAGCAAGCCGCTTATGTACAACGGCATGGGAGAGGATAACAAAAAATATATAGTATAATTGTTTGGGAAATCCACGCTATTATCGAATATTCAACCATGACGAGTGTGGGGTTATACAAAATTCCCATGATATGAAAGTACAATTATTGTTGAAAGCACTAGGTGATCTTCACTCTACAATGTGATCTTCGCGATTAAATTAATCATTAAATGATTGCCTGTTCCGACCCACCAATCGCAGTGTCTCCAGGTCCTTAGACTCCGGAGACGCATGGACGTTGCCTTGGCTAATTCGTTGTCTATCACCACTGGTAGGGTGATGCGCGGGCGTCCGAACCAGCCCCGATTCTGTCGCTGGAAACACGCTGTCAGGCTCACCTGCGCTGAAGTTGCTTCAGGGAGCCGTAAAATATGGCTGGAAACAAGCCTGGGACTTTCTTACATATGACTGTACGGCTGGGGTGCACCGAGCGGTAAGGATAAAAGTAAAACGTTCCAGACAACTGGTAGTAACGAGACCTGCCTGTAGCTCTTCGGGACCCCAGCAGGCTCGTTCGGCTTGAACAAAGGAACTACAAACCAACCCCTTAAGTCATCAGGATAGTGGCCGATATGTTTTATTGTATTAAAGAAAGCAGAAAGCCAACCGGCAAGCAATTCACCACCTGATATCAACAGGTCGGCGTTGACAACAACGTTACCCACCGCTCCACTGGATAGTTGTTTCTGGATTGCTTTGGAGACTTCGGCAGGATCAAAGCTGGTGACGGGCACACTGTTGGGAGGCTGCGACGAAAACGACTCTGGTAGGGCGGAGCGATAAATTATAGGAATAGTATTCCTCTTTTTCTCTCCGAAACTCCACACCTGCAAGCGAGATACGAACTCTGTGAAGTCCAAATTTAAAATAGGACTAGCATTCCGTAAATTCCTGACATCATGCTGCCCCTGTCATCCTTTAGATGACTAGGAGACTGTTTTATTTCAGATTTGAGTTGCTGAAGCTGACGTTTGGCACTGTAGTAGGAATGAGGGTCGGGAGGTACCGAGTCGACAGAGTTGGGGTTGTCCTGCCCAAACTGGTCACCCTCTTGTCGTAAAATAGACCGGATGCGATGTAGTATCTCTGAGAGCTCTTTCCTGAGCCTAACCCGGAACTCCTTCACAGATTCAGCGTGGATTCTAGAATGCAGGTCCTTCTGTTGCCTTGAAATGTCAGCCATAGTTGGATTAGAGCTATGTATTGTACGCGATGATGGCTGTTCTTAACCGAAACACTGGGATGCTGAGCTATGTATAACCGACACAAAGTCATTCCATATCGATTCCAGCTGCTCCGGGCTTTGCGCATTAGAAACTCCGGTAGGCTGTCTGAGAGCAGGGTTTGGAATTTAGTGCTGGATGTTTCGGTAGGTGTCTGATGGTGGTTGAAGCAGAGGTCAGTTTGCGAAGCAGAATATAAGTCGGCAATGACAGGATGGTGATCCGATCATGTGATGAAGCCACCATAGGACCTGACATCGGTAACGTGAGCCATGTCTGACTTCTTGACCTTGACGCAGTCTATCATGCTTCCGACAGGTTCACCATGACCTGGTATATGGCTACAAAATGGTAAACGTTACCTGATATCCCCAATAACATTATTGGAATTCGATGTTATAATACCGATGACCAATCCATTGCGAAAACCAAGCCGTTTCCCAAAGATAATAACGTTATCATTCTAGCAATGACATAGCTTGTTGCATGCAGGATGCGTGGTTTGTGACATGTGCCCAATCTGGTGTGTTCAAACATGTCCTTGCACCGGCAAAATGCGTGGAGGTTCAATTATTCTCCTACCTCCAACACAAAACATTTTCTTTCTTAATTCAAACAGTAACTCATTGTGAAGCTGTGAACCAGTCATCAGTCAGTTACATTGGGAGAAGTCCTGTTGGTCAAATTATCACGGTGAAGTGTCGCGGTGGATACAGCAACAAACTCGGACCAATCACAGCTAAATGTGGGCCCCAAGGAATTTGGAGCGAACTTCCACATTGTCAGGGTGAGTGAGTACTTGCACATTGACGTGCCGTATATTATGTGTCTTAAAACCATGCACTCCATAATTGCAATAACATGCGTAGTATAACACGACGATTGTTTCGCCGTAGTGTTCATAACAGGTCCTCGAGTGTGCATTAATGAACTCAGATGGTGAGCCAAAGAAAAACTGTAACACGGAATTTGTGGTCATAAGTTATGCGAACGTGTCCACCAACTAAACCAGATTTTGGACAGTCAGATGTGCACCATCTAACACAAACCTGACAAGGAGTACTGACAACTTCAGGGAGGTGTAAAATATGGCTGGAAACAGGGCTGGGACTGTCTTACATTATGACTGTATGGCTGGGGTGCACGGAGCGGTAAGGATGAAAGTTAAAACGTTCCGGACAACTGGTAGCAACACCACCTGCCTGTAGCTCTTCGGGACCCCAGCAGGATTGTTCGGCTTGAACAAAGGAACTACAATGCCACCCCGCAAGTGATCAGGACAGTGGCCGATATGTTTTATTGTATTAAAGAAAGGAGAAAGCCAACCGGCAAGCACTTCGCCACCTGTTTTCAGCAGGTTAGCAATGACACCATCAATACCCACTGCTCCACTGGATAGTTGTTTCTGTTTTGCTTTGGAGACTTCGGCAGGATCAAAGATGGTGACGGGCACACTGTTGGGAGGCTGCGACGACAACGACTCTGGTAGGGCGGAGCGATAAATTATAGAGGAATGTATTCCTCTTTTTCTCTCCGAGACTCAACACCTGCAAGCCAGATACGAACTCCGTAAATTCAAATTTAAAAAAGGATTAGTACTCCGTACATTTATTCGAATTCCAGTCGTTGCCTGACATCATGCTGCCCCTGTCATCCTTCAGATGACTAGGAGACTGTTTTATTCCAGATTTGAGTTGCTGAAGCCGACGTATGGCAGTGTAGTAGGAACGTGCATCGGGCCGTACCGAGGCGACAGAGTTGGGGTTGTCCTGCCCAAACTAGTCACCCTCTTGTCGTAAAAAAGACCGAATGTGATGTAGTATCTCTGAGCACTCTTTCCCGAGCCTAACCTGGAACTCCTCCACAGATTCAGCGTGGATTCTAGAATGCAGGTCCTTCTAATGCCTTGAAAGGTCAGCCATAGTTGGATTAGAGCTACGTATTGTACGCGATGATGGCTGTACTTCACCGAAACACTGGGATGCTGAGCTATGTATAACCGACACAAAGTCATTCCATATCGATTCCAGCTGCTCCCGGCTTTGCACATTGGAAACTCCAGTAGGCTGTCCGAGAGCAGGGTTTGGAATTTGGTGCTGGATGTTTCGGTAGGTGTCTGATAGTGGGTGAAGCAGAGGTCAGTTTGCGAAGCAGAATAAAAGTCGGTAATGAAAGGATGGTGATCCGATCTTGTGATGAAGCCACCATAGGACCTGGCATATGTGACGTGATTCATGCCTGACATCCTGACATTGACGCAGTCTATCATGTTTCTGACAGGTTAACCATGGCCTGGTATATGGCTACAAAATGGTAAACGTGACCTGATATCCCCAATATCATTATTAGATTTCGATGTTATAATACCGATTACCAATCCATAGGGAAAACCAAGCCGTTTCCCAAAGATAATAACGTTATCATTCTAGCAGTGACATTGCTTGTTGCATGCGGAATGCGTAGTTTGTGACATGTGCCCAATCTGGTGTGTTCAAATCTTTCCTTGCACCAGCAAAATGCTTGGAGGTTCATTAATTTTTTCTGACCTCCAACACAAACCATTTTCTGTCTTAATTCAAACAGTAACTCATTGCGAAGCTGTGAACCAGTCAACAGCCAGTTACATTGAGAGAAGTCCTGTTGGTCAAATTATCACGGTGAAGTGTCGCAGTGGATACAGCAACAAACTCGGACCAGCCACAGCTAAATGTGGGCCCCAAGGAAATTGGAGTGAACTTCCACATTGTCAGGGTGAGTGAGTACTTGCACATGGACGTGCCGTACGTAATGTATGTTAGACCCATGCACTCCATAACTGCAATAACATGCGTAGTATAACACGACGATCGTTTCGCCGTATTGTTCATAACAGCTCTTCGGGTGTGCATTAATGAACTCAGATAGTGAGCGAAAGAAAAATTGTAACCCGGAATTTGTGGTCACAAGTTATGCGAACGTGTCCACCAACTAAACCAGATTTTGGACAGTCAGACGTGCACCATCTAACACAAACCTGACAAGAAGTACTGAGACATTTCACGGCATGAAAGTCAGCTTGAGCACTGCTCGATAGGGCTAACCAACAGCCTTCCCACCTGCAAGGTTCAAGGATATTAGTGCTAATTCCAGCGTGATGCTATACATGTTATTGCAATTAGTTAGTCCATCATTGTCATCAAATAAGTACAGTACTATAGGATACTGGCGTTCGGTTTGTTACAATTCGGCCTCACGAATCTTCCCCTTCACATTTTCATCTCTGATAATATTCAGCCTCACAAGTTGGGTGGTTGTAGCTTTGCGTTATGGAGTTGTGATTTGACCGTTCTGTCTGGTCTTAACGTCCCGTCATCATGCAAGGCCAGCATTCCATGAAGCCTTGGAATTTAGCCTGTGCTCGGCTCGATGGCGTTCGTCTTCCCCTCTTTGGAATTATCACTAATATCCATGAACGTTCCAAGTTGGAAGGCCGTTGGTTACGGTGCTTAAGCTGACTTTCAGAGGTGTGACAAACGAGAAGTAATAATAGGGTTTTCCTGCTTGAATGGGGTGAATGCTTCCAGTCATGTAGACATGTAGGCAGGTAGAGTGTAATAGGATTTCGTGGGCAAAAGGAACCTGGACGACGCAGAAGTTTCGTCGTACATTGGATGCTATAAATGTCTGTATCTTCAGTGTTAATCAGCTGGAGGTGACGCACGGCCGCCCTTCTCGTAATAGCCCTTTCCCAAAGATGCCAACATATTTCGCAGCTTATGCTTTTTGCAACCATGCCAAAACAAATGAAAGTTGCTGAAATCTCGCTCATATTTTCAAAAGGTGGCTCAATAGTTGCTGATATCGAAACTCCAAATGAGCAAGTTATTGTGCATAATGAAGCCAAAAGCAACAAAAAAAAGGAGCGGAAATGGAAAACACCGGCGCAGCACAACTGCCTGAGTAAAGCCAATCGTACTTTGAAGTATAATGAATGCCAATGTTCACAGCGTGAAACATGTTTAGAAAAATGAACAGCCATGGAATGAGTCATTGTCCTTTTTTGTTGAACCTTTGCATAGCATTCATGACATACCTGCATGCTCAGAGCTGCCAAATGAGAAGAACACTTGTCATTATTATTTTATGGAATGTTTCAGCACTTCTTGTTGAAGCGAAGCATCACGGACATTTCAATGGTCTCCACCAATCCGATTCTCCTCAAACAGAGGCGGAAAAGTGGAGAAGCAGTTTGTATAAAAAAAGGAAGTTTCGAAAGTTGCGATTTCTTCCAAAACAACAAAAAAAGTTGCGAAAAAGCTGCGAGTATCTTTGGTAAAGGGCTATCACGTAAGCGGTGCGCCATAACAAAAAAACGGCCTGTGCAATACAAGGCGTGCAAGAATATCTCTCTGTCAGGTATTGGTCTTTAAAAGGTTTAGTGGAAACTCCTGTAATGTGTTGTTACAGACATCAACGAGTGTGAAATGGAAGAGAAAGTATGTGTAGACAACTGCATCAACTTCACACCCGGTTTTACCTGCACCTGTCTGAATGGTACCTTTGGTTGCTTTGGTAAGTACAGAAAGGAAATGATCAATATTATTTATTTTATTTAACTCGACGTAAGGCTTGACGTGAAGCGCATGTGATGAGGAAGCAATGATGAAGTGCGATGAACCTCTTTTTGGTTATTTCAGTTGATCACTTTTTTCTTCAAGCAGCAGTTGTAAGGCTTTCTGTAGGTTCTTTGCAAAATTTAATGTAGTTGGACTCATTGCCTTTGCTCCATATCAATATACCTGTCACTATCATAGTACTGTTCTCAATAAGAGGACGGAAAAATGTTTCACGCACTAACTGACAATTAGAAAGCAATAATGAGTACATCGGGATCAATACCGTTTTATATACCCACAAAGCAAAGTGTGAATGGGTGCATCATGGAGCAAATTTAAAAGATGCGAATGACGGCAGTGCAAAGCGTTAATAACTCCTTGGTGCTGACCGCTTTAATGCGCTTCTCGTATCCCTTCGCACAAATCATATCCCCAAATCATTTCGCAAGGCACCCTGTAAGAAGACCTTAGGGTCTGTTGGGAATGCCCAAGTAAAATAATAAAATACAAAAAACAAATCATGGCGCACATCTAAAAGTGCAAATGACAGCAGTGGTGAAAGGTGACGACCACTGGAGCAATCTTGCACAATGAGTAATGTCCCTCTATCTGGCGTCAGCCAGGCCGCCACAGCGTTGTTGTTCAGCTCAAGTTTTGCCTGGCTGGTATCGCCCATAACGCCATCTGCGGTTGTCTCCCAAACTCCAGCCATAGGCACACAACTGCTCATGGTTCCTGGTGGCCTGTACTTGGGCGTTTCACAAGAAAACCACACAAGAAAACCAGGACAACAGGTACGTAACACTGACGCTCTTTGATTTTCCTCGTGTCCCAAATTGGCTCTCACCTTCTCATTCGCACGCGGGATCATGTCTGTATGAACATGCCTCGAAACACGCGAGGACGCCCTCCACCAAGCTGACAGTCTCCAAGCTTCCGTCAATGCGTTTATACATATATGGGGAACAAAGTGGCATGTAGGGTTTTAACCATCGAAGTCACAGTTTCTACCAGTCTCCTGCCAAAGATAGCCTTGGCCTATCCTTGCAATAAACTTTGGAGTAGAGGTCATCCCACAGCAGCCACACCAGAAACTACTCCGCATAATAGTTGACTTCATTATCCATGAATCTCCGGACAGTTACTGCCAGGGCGTACTTACGTCTTGGCCTCCTACGTAGAGCTGCTAGCATTCTGGAACGCCATGGCGTGCTGGCCGTGTAGCACGGCTTCTTCCGGCCCCTGCTTTAGCACGGGCCCCTTGTTTGGATGGGAGCTGCTCCAACCAACCTTGAACATCTTAGCAGAGAGGCGAACCCACCAAATCCTAGGACCCAACATCTTGCTACCGATCCTCGAGGCTCGACGGACAGGTCGCAGTGCCGACTTTCGTCTACAAGCTACTTTGCCAACCAGGTCCTCATCTGCGGAGATCCATTGTCCCCCCTCTCCTTGTCTACCATACCGCACCTGTAACCCGGAGACAATGCGAACAGCCTGCTTTACACCCCTACCGACTGGAAAATATTTTCCCTCCAGGTGATCCTAACCACCCAAGACGCGCATTTCCATACAACATTATCAACACCTGTAGCGCGCTGCCATCCTCCCTCTTCACCAAGCCACCATCTCCTAAGGGTCTGCAAACTTTCCAAACGAATGTCCACTACCCTCTTTGCTGCAGCCAGTGGCTTTGGGTCACGGACTCACTCTAGCAGTTCAGATTTTTCAGATGTCTATCTTGAAGCTCCCCGCTCCCAAGTATTGCATCATGTTCAGAGCCATCTGCCTTTGAATCTCTCTCTCTCTCTCTCTCTCTCTCTCTCTCTCTCTCTCTCTCTCTCTCTCTTTTTCTTGTTTTCTCTCTTTTCGCTCCCCCTTTCTCCGTCTCTCTCTCTGTGTCTCTCTCTTTGTCTCTCTTTCACCTCCACCATTCTCCATCACCTTCTCTTGTCCTTTATCGCACTAAATCACCCACTTCTTTCAAGCTACGAGACGCAAGTCCACGTTTACTCCGAGACTATAGGTCGGTGTTGTGGGCTTGCCTGTCTAGCACTGGCTTGCTTTGCAGCCCCTACTCCCTCTGCTATTTTTGCATTACTGGAGTATGTTTAAATGTTGTTTTCTCGCCCTCCGACGAGTAGGTTGTGTACCTAGTAAAAAAACGAAGCACAGTGGACTTAGTAAGAAACATAAAAGCAATCACGCACAGATTCCTAAAAGCGAGTTTGAAAAGACTATGATACTATGTTCCACCTATCCACGAACGACACCGACTCACGGTGATCATAAAGCTCTGATTCTCTTCTGTTAGAATCTCTTCGTCAGTTATCGCTTTTGTTCTTCTTGTGTTGCCATCTACATTGTATTGGGATAAAGTTTTTGAAACCCGACAGCCATCAGGAATTCGGGAGGTGTTTTCCGCTGTTGAAACGGAACGTCTCTGCACCCTTACTCCCTGATTATTGTTTGACTTGAAAACTGCTATGAAAGTCGTGCTCCTCATGCACCATCTTCCTCAGCCTACTCCAGCTCACGTGGATAGGGATGATTTACCAAAGCACTGTGTAGTGGGCAACGAGTATAGCTTTCTTGCAAGTTTGACAAGTGGAAGGTTCGATGACATTCCCGTATGCTCAGTCCATCAAGTGTCAATGCAGGTTGGCGGGGAAAGGAAGAACTCCATTGTGGGGAGCAACCAACTATCTTCTTCTTTTTCTTACTATTATGAATTCAGATGGAGACTCAAGGATACATTTATAATAAAGAAAAAGGAGTGTACAGTCTATATCCAGCCCACTGATAATGGTGCAGAGCCACTCCGTTTTATGTGTCTATCAGTACTGCTTGTTGTACTGTTGTGCATTATCATACTACTACGCATTCGTTCCTCATGTTGTATTCACGTCAGCTGACGTCTGATGCGCGTAGTCGCGTACACTGCTTTCATTCTTCATGTTGTATTCACGTCTGATGCGCGTAGTCGCGTACACTGCTTTCACTTCTCATGTTGTATTCACGTCTGATGCGCGTAGTCGCGTACACTGCTTTCGCGCGATCTTTTGATTTGAATGTTTTTGAATCTCCGCTTCTGCTTCGAGAGAGGCAGAACTTGCCTTTGTACTGCGAGATGATTTCGAGCAGAGTCAGAGTAAAACATTATAATACAGTCTTCTAAAACAACGAGTCGTGTGCTATCCGGAGGCATGTTCGAGTAAGAACATAATGGTCCTTCGAGCCGGATGGCGGACTTAGAGACAGAGCGAGCTGAGAGCGAACAGCGAGTTCGAAAAAGCAGAAGATTAAAAGGCATTCCACCAGCAAGGGATGAGGCAGAAGGCTTCGAATTTCCTTCGTTGGCAGCCAGGAAAACGGCAATGGCAGATGCCAGGTCTGTAGGAAGCGCAGAATCAAGTAGGTCAGGTACTAGTAGTACGTCCAGAGCAACATCGTCCTCACGACGACAAGCGAAGATTCAGGCCGCTGCGAAGACGTTACGTCTTGAACAGGAATTTCTGGCAAAGAAATTCGAACAAGACAAAAGACTAGTGGAGCTGGAGTTGGCCGAGGACCTAGCTAGGCTCTCCGATGAGGAAAGTATTCCGGACGACAGTAGCCAACGTAGCTCACATCGCTCCTCAACTGCAAGTGTGCGCTCAAATCGTAGCGGTGCTCTCTCGATCTCCAACTGCAGTTCTGGATATATGAACGCTGCGGATGAGCAGTCAGTGCAGGAAGTGGAGTCTGACAGCCAAAGACGCAGCAACGTTAGTTTGAGCAATCACAGTGACACTGACAGAGGAGATTGTGTCCGACCTGCAGTAACTGTCGCACCCCAGTCTGAGCTGACAAGACCTACCAGACCTGCCAGACCACCGCCACAGCCTCCTGTACACCGTGTACAGGCCAAGCGTCCACCTATCATGAATGCTGCAGCCAGGAGCTTCAAGCCAGCAAAGGCTGGTGCAGCCAGTAGAACGCACCTTGACTCTGATGCGCCACACCGGTCTGTGAGCGCACAGAATCCAGCCACCCGTCCACATGGTCCAGAGGATCCCACTGCATCTGCACGATACGTTCAGAACTGGGTAAACAGCGTGCCACACAGTGCTGGGTATGTTGGTATTCCGCAGTTCCAGATAAAGCCGCTGGAACTGCCCAAATTCAATGGCCAACAGGAGAGCTATCTTCGATGGCGCCAGCGATTCATGCGTCTCGTAGACGACGACCTCATGTCAACGGAGGATTATAAGATGGCACGGCTGCGTGAGGCGCTGGATGGTGGGAAGGCTGAAGAACTTGTCAGTGGTATTCTGGACGGCCCTGGGGCATACAGTGCCGTGCTGAAGGAGCTCGACCAGTGGTTTGGCGGCGACAACCGGGAGCTGGAACGGCAACAGCAGGAACTATTGGCCAGTCCCCGGATCTCTCGGGAAGATGACACAACAGCTTTGCAACGACTTGCAGTGAAGCTGAGAAACGTTCTGCTTAACCTGAAAACGGCCAACGTCGTACCCGGACGCGAACTGTACATAGCAGTGTCTCAGAAGCTCCCAAGACGGATGCTGTCCCGATTCCTGGATCGGTATGATGACCAGAGCTGTGATGCGGAGGTGTTGTCTACCTGGCTGCTGAAGCAGGTGCACAGAGCGCAGCAGGTGGATGCGCGCCTCGCACTTCCCAGAGAGGCCGCCACAGCATCTACCCGCAAGCCGTACGACGCCCACAGCAGCAGAGCGCCCAGCTCAGGTCAAACCCAACATGCATTCCATGCCTCGAGGGGTAAGCCAGCGGAGACTCCCAATGCATGTTTCAAGTGTGACGGTAATCATCTCCTGAGCCAGTGCCCCGCCTTCACAGCAATGTCGGTACGAGAACGCTGGGATTTAGTGAAACCCACACCTCTCTGTATTTGCTGCTTGCGACCTGGCCACCGTAGCATGTCCTGTAGCGGGT